AGGTCTGCTGCCCACTGCGCTGCACAGGGTTTCAGCCCCATCAGCAGTTACCAAACAGCTGACTCACACACACACACACACACACACACACACACCTATATGCAGGTGTGTATGTGTGTGTATATAAAGTATTGTTGTGAGTGAAAGTATACATATATATTTTTATCTATTTGTATGTACATATATATTGTTGACTTGTTATGAATACATTACCGGGACAGACAGCCACTTTTTACTTTTGCTTTTTACCTATAATAAAAAAAAGAAACCAAGAAGTTATCCTTTTTAATCTTCATAGTGCTGTGAACAATACACATCTTGCTGCTAAAGTTACTGATTTAGAGTTTACTGTGAGCGTACTTCAGTCACCCTGCCTTAATATCATTTAAAATAATGACTGGTTCTTAATTCCTTTACCATCTGCAGCCAAAATGAAATGATGTTCCTTTTAATTGTGTAGTAAAAGTCAGTCAAAAATTCCTAGTACTCTACTCTAACAGTAAATAACACACAATGAAATTATGAATCCTACATTTATTTACAGACATTCACACAGAATGCATACAGTTTGAGGGGCTAATCTGCACACTGAGTTGTATGTGCAGATACTGCATATCTAGGACAGTGACAACTTTGATGTAAATATATGCTATAAAGTGGAAAAGAGATGCTAATATTAAGTGTAAAAGTATGTCATTAGATCCATGTCAGCAAGTCAATAATGAGTCAGAAGAGCTTAAAATGAGTAAAATCACCTTGAAATATTTTCCCAGATATTATCATTTTGAAAGAAGTTCGAAACCAGGTGTAAAAGAAACCATAGACAAATGGATTGAGCATTGAATTTGACCATCCAAGCCATTTAAATGACACAATCACAGAGGCTGGTATTGCATTATCAGTCAGAGGATTAAAGGTGAAACAAAGAAAGAAAGGAGTCCAACATATGAGAAAAACTCCTATAACAATAGCCAGAGTTTTGGTGGCCTTTCTCTCCATCTTACTGATGGTTGCTCCAGACTTTGTGTTCTGACAGATTGTGTTCTGGATGCTGCGTACCTGTCTCTGTGACACCATAAAAATCTTTAGGTAGATGGTGAACATTACAATACCTGGGAGGTAAAA